AGTTTAAATGAACTTTAAGATTTTTCAGGTTACAACTATCAAATCGAATATTAGTACCTTCTGTCGGACGTATCTTCATACAGTGTAATATCAATAAAGTATCATTAGCTGACCAATACTTAGACAGTGATTATATTCATGTATAATTAAAGAAAATCAATTAAAAATTAGCATACCAGCTTGAGTACGACTGTAATTAGGAAAAATACAATTAATCACCGGATAAATAAGAATTAAATGAAATGTTAATGAATGAAAAACACATTTGAATACTACAGACACCGATGCCCACCCCTCCGGAGCCAACGCAGCGTTCCCAGGAATATTAGCTGACCAATACTTAAAAAGCGATTATATTCATGTATAATTAAAGAAAATCAATTAAAAATTAGCATACCAGCATGAGTACGACTGTAATTAGGAAAAATACAATACAAAAACCAAACCGCCGGATGACAATAAATATGAATCAATTAGCGAGAGTTAGGTATGGGTATAATTATGGTTTACCGGCCAATGGAAATGCTTTGACAATTTTTCTGAGATTTTACGGAGTAATTATAAGATCCTATCACACTTGAAATCGAAATGAAATCAATGTGTCCTTTAGTCTCCTACTAGTCGCATGTCCGTCTCTACTCGCTCCGTGTTTTCACTGTTCTTTAGCGATTATCACTACATTTTATTTTACCCTTAGTGTTTTTATTTTTATTTTATTTTTTTATTTTTTTATTTTTTTTAACATTTCAATATGTTTAAATGTGAACAGTGTGATAAATATTACAACAGAAAAGATATTTTAGTAAGACATGTCAAAGTTCATAGTGGTACACGATTTACGTGTGGTGAATGTCCTGCTACATTCCGCCGTCGCGATTATCTTACAAGACACGATCAAACATGGTATGTATTTCAATATTTTACTTTATTAATAATTTTAAATTTAGTTTTTTTTTTTTTTTTTTTTCGACAAATGTTCAATAAAATAAATAATTCAACTATTATTTTGTAAGTTATCAATCGCGTTCAACCACAAGAACAACGTGAATTTAATGAAATTGAAATAGCTCCACAAATTATTGTACCAGACATTCAAGACGGACCGTCTAACGACAGTTCAGAAGAAACATGGTTTGACGATGGTTATAACGAATTGATTAATCTTGTTGGGGATGGTATCGAGTCTGCTAATTTATGTGAGAATACAGGTAAGATTATTTTTAAATATTATATTCTAGTTTGTGTATAGAGATAGTTAGATAGAATGAATTTCATTTGTAGGTCTCTCAAACTATGTTACGAACGAAAACACGACATATAATAGACGGAATAAAAGGGCACGGCTAGATTTGGTTGGAAAAGCTGTTGAATTTGTTAATGTGGGATCATCTTTTAATAACTATATAACATGGTATTATAAGAAAAACACTAACAATATTATCAATCATTCAGTATTTCTCGATTCAATAAAATCCGAATTGTTAGAATTATTAAAATCATTATCCCTGCCTATCAAATTCAATCTTAAATTGGAAGCTGTATATAATAAACCTAATATTGAAAATTCATCCGTGAATAGGGCTTTTAAGACCTCGGCGAGGGCGATTTTTAATAATACTAATGTGGAGGAAAGTGTCGATGATATGTTTATCACAATTTTAACTGAGGAGGAAGCTTATCAAGGGAAAGGCAGCGGGTTCACTCTGCAATTGATAGATGGATTATTACTAGGCGTATATAAATATACTCTATTAGGTGCGAGCTCTTTTATTGACTTACCCAAAGATATTCAGAATAAAAAAGCAGTTATTAATCCTCAAAATTCAGATAATCAATGCTTCAAGTGGGCTATACTAGCTAAGCATGTTACAGACGAAAATAAACAACGAGTCGGTCAAAACTATTTTAATCACGAACAAAAATACATATTCATTGGAATATCATATCCCACTCCAATAAACGAAATTAAAATATTTGAAAAAAATAATAATGTTTCAATAAACATATACGGTCTTAAAAAATCTAAAAAAGATCAACATTTGGTTTTTCCACTACGTGTTGTTGAACAAAAACTAAATCATTTCGATTTATTGTTATTAAAAGATGAAGATAGGTCGCACTATACTTATATTACAAACTTTTCCCGGCTTGCTCGTGCACAAAAAACTCTGCACAAGGAAAGTGTAATATTTTGTAAAAAGTGTTTTTCATCTTTTGACAGCAGACAAAAAATAAATTTAATGACCATATCCGAATTTGTGGTGATCATAAACCCATACTTCCAATTATGCCAGCAGAGGGGGCTTCACTAGAATTTGATGCGTGGAGTAAGACCCAACGTTTGCCATTTGTAATATTTGCAGATTTTGAAGCCCTCCTTTTAAAAATTAATAAAAAATGTGGTAAGAAAACAACGGCGATCCATTCGCATAAACCAATGAGCTATGGCTTTATGGTTAAAGCTGCAGCAGATGTTCCACTCGAATTACTCGAAAAGTTTATTATTCCACAGACTCCAATCATTTATCGAGGATCTGAGAACTCAGATAACGTTGCAAAACACTTTGTGCAAGCTATTGTGGAGGTTGCACAAAGATTATATAGATTATTGAAAACAACCAATATACCGATAAACATGAGTTATGATGAACGTCGAAAACATATATCTACGACCAAGTGTGATTTATGTAAAATCAACTTCACTTTTTCGAATAACAAGGTTGCACATCACGATCATTTATCGGGAAAATTTTTAAAAAGTTTATACAACACATGCAATTTGAAATTAAAGACCCAAATATTTGTTCCGTGTTTCTTACATAATTTATCAAAATACGATGCTCATTTTATAGTAACAGAGCTAGGATATGACTCGCATAAAATAAATGTCATTCCTCATAGTGAAGAAAATCTCATTTCTTTCTCGAAATATATTAGTAACGATTTTACAATTAGATTTATAGACACTTATAGATTCTTGGCATCCAAATTGTCTACACTTGCGACAAATCTCAAAACACCAGATCATTCAAAATTCCGTGAAACCGCTAAAGTCTTTTGTCCAATCGATATGCCTCTCGTGACTCGTAAAGGTGTTTACCCTTACGAGTATACTAGCAGTTGGTCGAAACTTGACGAGACCACCTTACCACCAAAAACTGAATTTTATAGCTCATTAACGGAGACTTCTATCGAAGAGGATGAATACGAGCATGCTATCAAAGTCTGGAACCATTTCAATTGTCGCTCACTCGGAGAGTATAGCGATCTTTATCTCAAGATCGACATACTTTTACTTGCAGATGTCTTTGAAAATTTTAGAGATATTTGTATTTCTACATACAAATTAGATCCAGCTCATTATTTTACAGCTCCAGGTTTCAGCTTTGATTGCATGCTAAAATATACATCGATAAAACTAGATCTATTATCAGACTATGATATGCTACTATTGATTGAAAAAGGTGAATATTTAATTTATTTATTTATTTATGATAAATATAAGATTTTCATCTAATTTATTTCTTAGGCATACGAGGTGGACTGACACAAGCTAGTATGAGATATGGCAAGGCAAATAATCACCGAACACCTCATCATGACGAATCTAAATCTAACACATGGATAGTTTATCAGGATTGTGAGTTAAAATATATGTTTATAAATAATTTTAAGTATTATTAATTTTTCTTATTTTAGGTAATAATTTATATGGTTGGGCAATGACCCAATACCTTCCGTATGGTGAATTTAAATGGGTCGAGCCATCGCTAAATGGTTTGAATGACTTGAACGATACTTCCGAAATAGGCCGTATATATGAAGTGGATATATCATATCCTCAACATTTGCATGATGAACATAATGACTTGCCGTTTTTGCCCTATAACCACAAGGATATACCACAAGGATCAAAAGTACAAAAATTAATGGCTACGTTAGAATTAAAAGAAAAATATATTATCCACTACAGAAATCTTCAACAAGCTATTGCCAACGGTCTAATTGTTGAAAAAGTAAATATTATAGAAAATTGATTTTTTTACCAATAGATTAAATTTATTCCTCTACTATATTCTACAGGTTCATAGAGTATTACAATTTAAACAATCACCATGGATGGTAAATTACATTAATTTAAATACAGAAAAAAGAAAAAATGCGACAAATGAATTCGAAAAAGACTTTTACAAATTATTAAATAATGCAGTATTTGGTTTGTTATTATTATTATTATTATAATTATATTTATTTATTTTTTTTTTTATAATTTAGGAAAAACAATGGAGTCGATGAGGAAGAAAATCAAAATGGTGTTGGTATCATCTGAGCAAAGGATACGAAAACTGATAAATCGTACTACATTTAAATATTGTACCAACTATGATAATAAAAATTTATCAGCCGTAACATTAGAAAACAAAATAGTACATTTTTGTAAACCGATTTATATAGGTAAATAAATTGTAATATTAATGATATTATTATTATTATTAAAATGTTATAAATTATGATTTTTATAGGATTCGCTGTACTTGAAATCTCAAAAACACTTATGTATGACTATCATTACAATGTAATGAAGAGTCACTACAAGGAAGCTATCAATTTGATGTATACAGATACAGGTATATATATATATATATATATATATATATATATAAACCATACATTTTTACAAATATTAATTATAAATTTATTTTCAGATTCATTGGTTTATTATATTAAAACAGATGACTTTTATAATGACTTGCAAACTAATCCAAACTTACTGAATCGTATGGATACTTCCAACCTACCACGTGATCACTCCTGTTTCATTGCTGAAAGAAAGAAAATACCTGGGTTGTTTTCAGATGAATCAAATGGACAGACTATTCATGAATTTATTGCGCTAAGGGCAAAGTCCTATGCCTACATAATCGATGGACAGGAAAAAATCAAAGCGAAAGGCATCAGAAAACATGTTGTTAAGAAACACATGACATTTGAACATCATAAAAAATGTTTGTTCGGTGAGCCCGAGTTGGATTTATACAGAGAAAATATATCAATTCGATCGGTCAAACATAAAATATCTACGATAAATACCAAGAAACTAACATTCAATCGTTTTGATGATAAAAGATTCGTTATGCGAGATCAGATTCATACTTTAGCACACGGCCACTACCGGATTCAGTGAGTTTAACTGATTAATTTATTTTAAAAACCACCTGATCATATTTTTATTTTGTTTCAGAGATATTATTGATAATGATGAAGATGAGGAAAACATGATGTAAAAACAATTGGTTTTTTTTTTTTCTCATTCATTTTATATTGTAAATATTTTTAAACAATCTGATAAATATTGTAAATGTATACAAGTAATATAATAATTGTATTTTTGTTCTCATTCATTTTATATTGTAAATATTTTTAAACAATCTGATAAATATTGTAAATGTATACAAGTAATATAACAATTGTATTTTTGTTCTCATTCATTTTATATTGCAAATATTTTTAAACAATCTGATAAATATTGTAAATGTATAAATATTGTAAAAACCTTAATAGCTATGTAAAATATGAATAAGATTGTAAGCAAAAACATTTAATAATTCTAATAAAAAATAACCTTTATTAAGTATTATTTACATACCATTTTTTTAAAACATAAACTTTGTAAAATGTACAATGGTTTGGATTTAAATTCGTGTGAAAAGTACAACAAGGAAAATTGCTATTAGCATCACATAACTGATTCAATCGAGGACATCCAAGTTCTTCCATGTTGATGACGCTGACATGTGGAATATACTTTTCGATAATCTTTTGTTTCTGCAAGCCCTTCACGTATAATTGTTTGAATTTTAAAGACTTAAAAATGTTACCAAGTTCTTTGTAATTGACATCACCATGTTCCAATGTTAATCCATGATAATTTCTTTCAAGCCATTTGTTCACCTTTTGACTTTTTGCATCTTGTCTGATGAGCGGGTGTTTGAATATCCAATGTTGTACTGTTTGTGCATCATCTATGCCTAACAAAGACATTTCTTTAATCATGTATTCATTGTTGGTTCCGAGAACGCAGTGAACATCGATAATAGCCATTTTATGCAGGTTTATCTCTAAAATAAAATTCGATCGTATTCATACGATCTAATAATTTAGAAATTATAGTATTTATTGACTTTATTTGATTTTGATTCTCGGTTAAACGTTTGTCGAGGGGATCGAATAATTGAGTTTCAATGTTCGTTTTATTATTGTTTATTTGTTCTAGAATATTGACTTCTTTTTCGAAAAGTAAATTGATACTGTCTTGATGTCTGTCGATTACATTATTAATTTTAGTAAGATTAGTTTTTAATAATTCATTTGATTCTTCGATCCTAGCAATAGATTTGTTTCTTTCGCTGTCTGTAGTTGCACCGAACACGTTCATGGTCGTACTGAAACTATTTTTTAATTTCACTTGTTTTTATCCAACTATTATGAGTATTATCGAAACCGAGCCACTTGACAAACACCTGATTACCCCTCCTACGAATTATTTTTTCAACTAAATAGTCATCAGGGTGTATAGTTTTAGATATTTCTTCGGAATAAAAACAGCCTGCGATCGGTTTTCCTGTATAGTCTTCAAGAATATACGTCGGTGGGGATGTTTTATTTATTTTTATAACAGTAAAGATTTCCGCTGACCAGTTGGGTAAGTACCCCTTAGTAAAAACACCTTTTTGGGTAGAGACTCGTACTTTATCTCCTAGTTTAAATTTAGGTTTTTTGTCGAGAATCTTACGTTGCTTCAATACGATCGAAGTAGGGTATTTGTCCGCTAGTATAGGTGTTGTTCCTATGGTTCGATGTACTGAGAAGTTGTTATAATTTTTCATAATCATAGGTAAAATAGAAATCCAGTCATGTGTACCTCTGGCCGTAAACTCTCTAAACATTTTTTCTTTTAGGGTTCGATTGAATCGTTCGATAATACATGCTTTAGTAGTACTGAATGTTGAATACTTTTTAATTTTATACTTTGACATCAAAGCGTCAAATGTCTTGTTATAAAATTCTTTGCCGTTGTCTAGTTGAAGTAGTTTTGGAGATCGATTAATTAATATTTTCGACATTGAATTAGAGACTTCAGCTGCGGTTTTTGATTTCAACGGAAATGCCCAGGCGAATTTTGTAAAACAATCAATGACACATAGTATATATTTATATCCTTTATTTTGTTTTGAATACGGAATCATCTCAACCAAATCAGCCTGCCACAAGTCATTTTTTCCATAAATGTTAACGTGTCGTCTGGTATAATTTTTTCTAGACGGACGATGAAGTTCATGGGCAATTTCACGTTTAGACATTTGGTATTCTATTTATTATCCCGGCTTCGTGTAATTCTTCGAAAATCGATAATATTTCGTTTGAAACACTTGTATTACCCGCTGATTGAGAAGCCAATAGAAGCTTTAGTCTATCGACTAATTCGTTTGGATCGTTCCAATATACGATATTATGATTTTGTAATTTCACAGAAAGACCTGTACCCGTAGAGAAAAGTCGAGCAATGATGTCTTTATACTTGTTACCACCGGTTTAAACCTTTAATCCGTCAGTAGTTAGATGAGCTGAAGTTTGAATTAATATTGATTTATACACCTCTAAGTCACTGTCGGTGTACAATTTCGGTTGTTTTGAAAATATTAAACTAATAATACCGTACGTTAGTGGATATGTTGTATCTTGTATGATAAGCGTGTTTCCTACAAATTTGATATCTTGATTTCCTAATCTTATAATACCATTGTAATTTCTTTTCGGACCGTATGTCCTATCTATGAGCTTGGAATTGAACCAACTATCAATGGTATCGTAAATTACATTTTCTGACGAGTAATCTTCATCATCTTGTTTTGATATTATTTCTTCTTTTTCAGCTGGTGTATAAATGTCGTTCTGAATTTTATTTAATGGATCGATGATAGGCTTAAATGTTTGCGAAACAAAAGACTGTGTATCTGCTTCACCTTGTTTTAGCATGAAATATTTACGTTTAATATTGTCTTTTGCCGAAGCTAATTCGGATATAAGTGAACATTCGGAAGTCATGACTACGATTAAAGTAATATACGTATAACATTGCTTTATATAATAACAAACTTATCGAATCCATGTCTGTATCGCCCGTTATCGCGTTCGCAATCTTTACTTATAACTACAAACTCAAATCGTCCTTTACGCCAGCACGACGTGCAAAAATCTTTAAAATCTGAATACTTCATGTCACCTGAACAGTGATCCAGGTAAACGTGCAGTAAACCGGCAGACGTGGGTCAAGGCATCGGCGATTTTAAATTTACCAACAACGGATTAGCGTTTCTATTTTCTGAACTACGTTATGAATTGAACGGTGTAGAAATACAAAAATTAAAATATCCCGGAATATCGTCGTGTTTGAAGGGCTATTGTTCTCATACACCTAACGACTTGAATGAACTTCAGAACAGTGCTTGGGATATACATATGACCGATGATGATAATAAAGATTTCATGACGGAATATACATTTTCTGGATGCATCCCGCTGAAATATTTATTCGGGTTTTGTGAAGATTATAAGAAAATATTACTCAACTGCAATCAACAATTGATTTTAAATCGATCATCTACAGATTTCGATGCGTTGTACGTTACGGGTACCGCGGTAAAAGAAAACATTGAAAAAAATAAGAAAGTAACTATCGATCTTCAAAAAGTTATTTGGAAAATGCCTATTGTCAGGGTGACTGACAGAGAAAAATTAAAACTATTGAAAGTAATAGATTCTCGGAAGACGTTGTCGTGTGCATTCAGAAGTTGGGATTTATGCGAGTATCCAGTCCTACCGCAAAATAATTCTCATTCGTGGACTGTTAAATCTAGTAATTTACTTGAAAAACCTAGATTTGCAATCATAGGCTTTCAAACAGATCGAAAAAATAACTTAACCAATCAATCCAGTCGATTTGATAGTTGTAACCTGAAAAATCTTAAAGTTCATTTAAACT